ATTTCGTTCTCCGTCACTAAAAAATTAATTTAAAAAAAAAAGTTGGATTAACATGGTCACAAAATAAATATACTTATACACTCCGATGACTAACTTAAATGTTGAATATGATTTCACAACAAACTTCAACGGCCTTTGCTATTGCAGGTCTAAAACTTTAAGGTCCTGATTATGTGTTATTTCATAATGCTCCCGATATGTAGTTGGGTTGTGGCCACTCTCATACCCCATGTATAATGTTGGCACCCAGTCTGGTGATGACTGATCATAAAATGAGGAATGTTTTTTTTTCTTTTGTTACTATGAGTGCGTTCGTTATTAACGGTGGCTCTGCCTCTCCGATACTACAGGAGTGCGCTGCCGTTTGTAGGCATTTCGAAACGACAGTGAAAAAAAGAAAGAAAGATGGCGGCACCCCTATTATCGATAGTGGAGAGATCTACGATTTTAAAATATGGGATTTTAGAGACAAAAGAAGGATCCAATTGTAAAATTTAACCATGAAATGGATTATTTTATCGACAGAGCAAAGTAGCCACGAAAAAATTAGAATGCCGGCTACCATTCAAAAAATTTCAGAAGACACATCACCGCGTGCACTAACTAGCGCTTTCACAACTTCTAAATTTTCATTCATAAAACCAAATAATGGACCCCGAAACGAAACTATCATAGAAGACGCCATGTTGCTTTCCACCGTATATTACTACTACGAGCGGCCGTCTTTGCCGTCCGACGGCGCACACTCCCGCTGGAATATAGGAACGAGTTTTGCAGGAATTTTTAAACGGTTGCTGCTCGCGCGGAGTTACGCGGAAGAATAAAAGAACGCACCCTATATAGTGATTATTTGTTACTAATGTAAAAAACAAATTATTGTAAAAAGTAACATCTTAAAGAAATGTTAATGCTGCTCACCAAATTGCTTACCTGAAATGAAATGTTTCTGACAAACTCTTGTATTGATATTCAGTTTATCCATATTAAAATTTTTCTGGTTAATTCTCGAGAGCCATGCAAATTACCTTAGTCGTGAAAGCTCCTCAGTTTGGGGTCCTTGATGACAAATAATGCCGGAAATTTTAAAAAATGACGTTTATTTGTTCTTGAGTGCACTAGTATTACACCCAATTACATAACAATTCACCATAGTGATATTCGCAACGAATAAACAACACAAGAACTCCAGCTAAAGCGAATGTAAACATATATAAATCATGTAACCACAAATATGGCGCCGGACAATTGCGCATGCTTATGACTCACTCGGGATGTCTACTTGAAACCTCTCTATATGTAAAATTTTAAAAGTGTATTAAAACTAAGGATACACAAATGTAGTTTTATTTACCAAATACCTTTATTTAATCGGTCACAAATTACATGTACAGAAAGAGAAAATCAGAAGATAACACCGGCCGATGTGAATTATGCAATGATTGCAGTAAATAAGGGACATTTGCGTACTCTTGTGAGAATCCTGTTTATTACTGTTTAATACTGGTTGTTACTCATAAATACATAACCATTTAGAATCACATTAAGGCATTATTTAAGCTACTTTGATTCAACGGGCGGCCACCAGTGGCCAAACAGTGGGCGCCCTGTTCGTACCCTGAACACTGGGAATTCGGTCGTGGGTTCGCGCCTCACTCGGACGGGCTGACCACGTGGAGTTTTTCAGGTTTTCTCTACGTCTGTAACGCCTAAATAGGGGCCAGCTTCCCTTAAAAAGTCCTCCCGGAAGGCATCGCCCAAGTGTTGCGTTGCCATAACTTAATAAACAAATAAACGATTCGACGGGCGGATGGACGAGCGATCAAAATAGTACTCTACTGCTCTGGAAAACCCGAAATCGAATTCGGACAGGCCGAAAAATCCCTAGGAATTTTTCAGGGGATGTTCATCCAGATATTGTCCCTCACCACACGGCCGTCCTATTGTAGGTCTAGCTCAGTGTTTCTCAGCTGGGACGATATCACCCCCATGTGGGCGTTTTTCCATGTTGAGGGGCGATTAGTAACAATTTATATTTTAAGGGGCAAAAAACAATTTTCTGGGCGATATAGTAAAACATTATATTAAGAATAATTAGATATTTTATTCGTTATATCGTACAATAATTAAACAAATAACATTATACTAGTCTATAGTCACTAGTCTATACAATGCAGTACAAATTTGGCGTTAGCCTTGGCCCTCGACATCGGAATTTTGAAGTGAAGGGGGCGATACTAAGTAACGGTTTTATTGAAGGGGGTGACGATTCGTTAGAGGTTGAGAAACACTGGTCTAGCTGAACCCATAAAATGGGCCTGCTAAAAAGAAGCCCTCTCAGTGCCTACAGGGTGGAAAGAATTTAAAAAATAGCTGCTTTGATGTACAAAAATTTAACCTTTTGTCCAATCGGATTGTTAATACGAATTTTAAATACGAATAATAAAGTTTTTGTTTGACCACTGTGTATAATCGAATGACATTTAGTCTACTAATTTGTTTGAGCTCAATAGATATCTATTTTTTAATATTATACCAAAACCTATTTCAGTCATTGTAATAACTGTTTTGGAACCTACTGTATGAATTTAGCTTATTAGCTAAATTCATACAGTAGGTTCCAAAACAGTTCTGATAATTTAACAGCTCAATTTCTTAATTTAATAATTTAACAGCTTAATTTCTTCCTCAACGACCTCATTTCTGTAATCTAGCTGTTTTAATGACTTGTTTTTTCCCAAAATCAAATTAGTAGAAAATTTTGCGTTTTGAAAGAAGCTGGTTTTTTAGTGTGTTTGCTGAATGAAGAAAGTGTATTAGAGTTTAAAATGATTATTTTGAAAATATTAAATAAATGTCTTTATATAGTATCGCGTTTTGAAATTTTAACTCATTCCTGAAACTATTTCTTTTTTTTTTTGTAACTCTTTCCGCTCTGTGGGGATTAAGAGGCCTTTTTTTAACAGCTTACAATGGGTTCGGCCAGACCCACAATGGGGCGGCCGGATGTCAGAGACAGGGCCCGTCATATCCGGACGGACCACCCCCGAAAAATTCCTAGGGATTTAGCGACCCGTCGGGATTCGAACTGAGGTCCCCCATAGCGGTCGGCCGGGTCTCAGGAGATGCCTTGACCGGTCGGCCATCCGGTCTCTCCTGAAACTACTGAATATTTGGCCAAATCTTATATTTAAAAGAGAAACAATATTTTGTAGAAGTTGAAAGATGTGAAATAAATATAATTATTTCATATCTAAAGATTCATAATGATATGAAGAAAAACAAACTAAATTTTGTTCCCCAAAAGCAGTCAAAACGACTTTCTTTACATTCTTTTAATATATGAGGTAGTGTATATTATGATATATTAGAATATATATAGTAATAAAGAATAAAGTAATAATTATATGACATAAATATTTTATAGTGGAATTTTATATAATGTTTTTATGTATTCTTTTGTTATTCTAAACTTATATTTATATACGACAGAGAGAGACTAAACATTTTATGACTTATTCAATAAACAGCTTCTGGTAATATGATACAAACAATTTAATATTTTCATTTAAATAGAAGAGAGTTTATTTTTAAAGATAATTAAATTTAATTTATAATTTTATTTTACACTGGAATATTGTTAAACGTCAATTTTTATTAGGTGATGTTTATGAATAAATCGATTACTCAGAGACAGCACAATTGGGTAGTTTAGATTAGACTTAACCAATTAGAAAAGGGCACTAAAATTTAAAATTTAGGCGAGAGGAAAGAAGTTATGTAAATAGCTGTCTAACAGATTGCGGGTACGTTGCTTTATTTCAATATAAAATTGCTTTTTTGAGATAGTTTTTGATATAAATAATTTGTTTAAGGAATAAGCTTATTTTCATTAATGGTGCGTGGTAGTACTATTAATTAATTATTTTATAAACTAATCAGTCGTGCAGTTCTCAAAAAATATCCTGCTAATTGTACAGGATTCCTGTATTACGCGTTTTTTCTTATTTACCAAATACATCATACTACTAAAAAAAGACATTCCTCATAATCTGAATATCCATATAGAACTGATTTAGAAGTTCAGGGATGTGAAGCTATTCTAGATATGAAAAAAATATGTTATGCTCTATAGTGCAATCTCTCAGACTGCCCTAAATTTAAACTTGTAAAAATGGAAAGCTACTGATCTAGAAATAGCAAGCATACTGCCAAACTGAGTGTTGTGCATTAAAGGTATACAAAATAACAAGCTTAAACTGTATATCTCAAACTATAGATATGCTCTACAGCTCTGTCAAAGTCCCAATTTGCTACATTTGTCCTAGAATTGTGCCATACTTTTATTCCTACAACAATGAATGCCAAGCAGTACAGTCTGTGAGACTACAATGTAATTAAGGATTAAAAAAACTTAAAGAAGAAAAAATCTCATCATTGATATAATAGTTTACTCGATTCAAACTTATTATTTTTTAATAATGAATATAACTGTTGAAAAATAACTTATGGAAAACTTATTACAAGTTCTTAAAACAAGGATGTATTTTTTTCTGTTTAAAGTATAAATTTTATATACTGATTTTAGTTATATAATAGCTGTGGCTACTATTTTAAACTGATGTTTTCTCTGGAGTTACTATTTCCTTTGCAAGGACTCATTTGATGCCTGTTATTATTTAAAGTATTTAAGTTTTTTTATTTATGAAAGTTGATTTTTAAAGCAAATTATACTTTAATTAAATGATAACTGTCACCTTTGCTTGTAATGAGTGTTATTTTCTGTATAACAATAATAATAAAATAATTAAAAAGTAAATCTTCGGTATATTGCCACTAGTGCCAGAATGGATAAACTACTGAAGGTTAAAGTCCAGATACGTATACTGTCATGGAGGCTCATCTCTGATTCCAGCAAACAGTGGGGACGCACGTTCTAACCTAACCTAACCTATTCTAATAATTTGATTGGTAATAATTATGGTAATTTATTAGAATAGGTTAGGTTAGGTTAGAACGTGCGTCCCCACTGTTTCCTTTCTTTTGTTTGCTGGAATCAGAGATGAGCTGCCATGACAGTATATGTATCTGGACTTTAACCCTACTGAATACTGATGGTTGTGGATTTATACCTGACACAGTCTAGCCATATGGAGTTTTTCAGGATTTCTTTGTGTCTAACACCTAAATAGGGCAAGTTTTCCACAGAAAATCCTCCTGTCAAATCACCCATGTAAATCTTTTTTCCATTAATCCAGTACTACTATATGTTGTTTATTTTCTATTAAAGTTTTTTGTTAAATAAATATGGTACTTACCTACCATAAACTATGGTATTTATTAATTTTACATTGTTTCTATAAGTTTTCAAAATCTCAAATAGTAGATGCAGCCACTATTCAAAGGCTTTAGAAACAAGATGCAATTATTATTCATATAAAACCTGTATCTGAATTTTCAGAATTCACATTCAAGATGAGAAGGAATGATTCACAGGAAAATTATTTTTGAATGATATCATAGAAAATTATCATTTCATATATATTCTTTGTGTTATTGGTTAATATAAAATTTTATATCCTTTTAAAATAAGGGCATAAAATTCTAATCCGAAACTTTTTGATAAAAATATTCAAATGTAATGTTTTATATTTATCAGATTTACTGTATTTTCTCAATTAAATTCAGGTCTTCATATAAATCTCAGGGAATAAAGATACAATTAAAAAATAACCTTGGGTTGAAAAGCAGGGAAATATGTTGAAGTACCTCATTGTATAGAATAATGTAGTTTAGAGTGATAGATAGTTTAACTAAAAATCTATCTCTTCCAATTGTCTGGAGTCAGATAATATTCTATTTCAATGTTCCTGAAAATGCTTTTTGAAATAAAATTGTAAATATTTTCAAATATAGAATATGGGGAAAGTCATGATCAAGTTCACAATTTGGGAAAACTCACTATCTTATTCCAAAAGAGATGTTGAATTTTAAACAGATAATGGTAGTCAAGATCTTGATTCCTACAATAACATAGAAGCAGATATGAATAACAATATAATAACCAGATGGAAGATGCTGAATCTGATTAACTATGAAAATAATTATTTTAAATGTTTTAGCTGTAACCCATAAATACTGTACAGTCAATAAATGGTTTTGATAGTTCAGAAAATGTTTCAACAATTATATTTATTTCTTTCAATTTTCACCCACTCATCTCCTATTCCAAGGTAATGAATGTCTAACATTTTTGGCTTGATGATTTTTATTTAGGATGCATATTTTTTGAATTATTCCAGTGGGTTGATTAAAATGGACCACTTGTATAAGTAATTTTTTATAATTATAAAAATAATCAGCACTTTATACTAATTTTTGAATTTATTTTAAAACTTAATAATAATTTTAATGTTTATATTCTTATAAATTTTTTTTATTTGCAGGTTTAACTGGATAAAATAAATTACAGTTATTGATTATATGCATTATTAAGAGAAGACCGTGAATAGCATTGTAAAGACATCTATAATAAGCAATGTTTTAAGTGTTTGAAAATTTGCATTTAATTCAAATAATGGATGATGATAATATGATAAAAATGGCTCCTAAAAGAAAAGCTGAAATATCATATGGAACTGATATTGTAAAAAGTTATAAACTATTGAAATATAAGGAAATGCAGAATTTAAGCAACACAGAATTAAGAACAAAAGATATGTCTTTAGAAGAATATACAGGAAAAGAATATATCTGTAGAATATGTTCTGATAAGTTTCAAACTGCACAAATTTTAAATATTCATATGTGGTCTCATGGTTCTGCTACTGAACCATTTCAAATTAAATCCTTTTTATGTCTAGAGTGTAAGAAAACATATTCAATTCACAGTTTCTTTTTACAACACTTGAAAATTAATCATCATAGTTTGCATTTTTGTAAATATTGTCCCCTCTCATTTGAAACATTATCAACAATGAAACATCATGTAAAAACAATGCATAAGAGTGAAATTGTAAAAAGGGGAAATGACATTGCAAAGTTTGCCTGTGTATTCTGCCAAGCATGTTACTTTACTGTTAATCATCTTGTAACTCATCTTTGCAAGTATCATTGTAAAGATGAAATTTTGAATGACTATTATCCTATTTGTAACACAGCTTATGAACATATGTGTTCATCTGATATAATCATAGACAAAGAAAATAAAATGCCAAAACAGACAGAAATTAAAAATTTCAAATCTAATAATGTCCAAAATAAAGTTTTTAAAAATATACCTGTGAAGAATTCTAAGCTTATGAACAACAGACAATCTTGTTCATACAAAGTTACAAAGAATTTGACCAAGCAAGCAACATTAAAAACAATGAAATATAATTGTAGCCATTGTAATATCAAATTTCTTCGGAGTCATCATTTACAGAATCATAAACAAAAACATCATAAAGTAGATAAATTTTTTGTACCAACATACGGATGTGCAAAATGTCCAGCAAAATTTTTTAAAAACAGTGTTTTGCAACATCATCTAACTAGTCATCACAAATTAAGTGTAACTCCAAAGATTTGAAATTTGTGAACTTTAAATATTTAATGATTTTACAGATTATTTATATGTGGAATAAGAAATATGTTTACAAGAACAATATCTTCTGAAATAGTTTGATTATATGCATGTTCAAGAGAATGTGAGACAGCTGATATACATTATTAAGGCTATCTATGTTTTATCTTAAAAAATTAGTCTTAGTTTTTTAAAAATAAGTGAGGGTAAATCATCATATAATGCATATTCTTGCTAATAGTGAGGTTTTTCTGCCTAATATATGTTGTAAGACTGCAAAATTCAAAAATCTCTATACAAATAAATATTTGTATTTTTCCATATTCATACTCTTTCTAATTGATATTTAAGACTTGTTCAATATTTTAGAAGTAAATGCATATATGTATTAATTTCTAAAGATTAATATGATCTTGGACCATTCCATAATGTTTACTCTTAACATGTACTTATTTGTTTCTGTATTACAGTTTGACATTGCAACTGCTGAGTCTGCTTAATGTAGAAGAATGATTATTTTTTGCTGAACATCCTCTACAGAAGTGCTACGTCAGAATATGTTGATTATATTGATGTCATGTTTGGTAGTGGACATCATTTATGCTACCTTCAGGTAGGAATAACTGATTAAAGATTTGAAGTTTAGACTATTTACAAAAAGTCAAAAATAACTTTTGAGTCCATCTTTATCCCTTATGCACTACCACAGAAGTAACAGTTTAAAAAAAAAAAAAAAAATGCTTTGAAGAACTCTTCTTAAACACAGGTAAAAATTGGTAAAAAATCTCAAAGGTTAAAAAAGATCAAGTGTCAGCCTTTCATTGTAGGTTTCTGACACTTTTACAATTAAAAACACAAAGAAATTCTTCACACTATCATTTTTATCCACCTTTTTAAACTGCTTCTAGCCCTCTAGTGGTAGTTACGAGTATCTAACATTATTTGCATATAGTTACAATTTTTGTGATAACTCAGGATGTATTTTCTTCATAATTTGAAGTTTAGACTATTTACAAAAATTCAGTCTAAACTTCAAATTATGAAGAAAATACATCCTGAGTTATCACAAAAAAAAAAAAAACTGATAGTTTTGCCCCTAAAATAAGTGAAGAATATTCTATATTTTTTACAAAAATGAAGACACACATTATAGTATTAATCCATCCACATACTATTATCAACAATTAAAAACTAAAATGTGCAAAATATACATTTAAGGATGAATTATTTCACTTTGATTGTTTTAAGTTTATGGAAACAAACAGAAGCTAATGTGCCAATCACTTGCATAATTGTATGCTAAGTCGCCAATCACTTGCATAATTGTAATTAATCTTTAAACAGATTCATTGCCATTACATAGCAGTACTACTGCTATGTACTGTACTGTACCTCTGCTCAATTAGAACTGTTAAGTCTGCTGAACATAGAAGCAAAATATCAAAATTAATAAAAACATTTTTGATAGCTAATCTACAGTATCTAGTTTATCTAGAAATTTCATGAAAATCTAATATAGATTTTCATGAAATTTCTCATAATGTTTTAGAACTATTTTTCATTTAATACTTTTATTATACTTGAGTTGAAGTTTTAAATACAGTACTAAAGTAACACATTTAAATGTAATAATTTTAATTGATATATCATTATGTCACATTTGTGTGTGATATATCATCATGTCACACACAAATGTCAGTTAAATTGAGTTTTGTGTGTCAAAAAATTGTTCCTTATTGGATTAGTTTTAAAACATTTGCTGTACAAAATTAGAAAACAAAATATCACTGTAAATAACTCTCTTGGAAATTCACATGAATAGTTTTAAGATAACTATATTCAATGCTAACTCTCAAAATTAGAGAACTTCTAGTTAAAGAAATTTGTTGTTCAGATGGCCAAGGTGATTAAGGCATCTGCCTACCAATTTCGGGATCTTGTCAGATCGAAAAACCTCAAAAATTTTTGGGGGTGGTCTGTTCCAGATGTTAGCTCCATCTCTCACAAGTTGAATATCCTATTGTGAGCCCAAGAAAACTCACAATGGACTTGAGAAAAAAAGACCCTCTTGGTGCACAGAGGGCAGTTAAAAAAAAATTATAATGACTTCAAATTAAATCTTATACTTTTTATATTAACACAATATTGTCATATAATTTTGTCTACATTTAACACAATATACAAACTTAAAACAGTTTTTAGTATGCTTTATATCTTATCTCAATAAATTATATGTCAATGTGGTGTTGGCTTTTATGTTAAATGTTAGCCATTATTATATTGTATGTAAATTATCTGCATTCAGCAGGCTCAACAGTTTTAACTGAGCAGATATATTTTGACAGTAACTGTTGTGTAATGCAAGTGAATTTGCTGAATGATGAATTAAGAGTTGATACACTATTGATGGCAATACTCATTGATTCTTTTGCTCATTTCTATAAATTAAAATCATTCATAGAAGTAAATTAAATTCATACAGCTATAGGAAAAATAATAATTTCTGTGGATTGATTAATATTATAGTGCACATCTTCTTATTTGTAGATAATATCAGGTCAGTCCATAAGTTCTTGCGTATTTTATGACCTTGAGAAAAATCTTGTTTTGCTGTTAAAAATGCCAGTCTTAATGTGATACTTTTTACACTGAAGTGTTAAATTGCATCTCATTCTGTTCAGAATTGGGAACATTTCAGTTGTTTATTTTCGTTAAAATGGAAGTAACAGATGAATATAAGAGACGTGTTTTATACTTTTTATTTTTAAGTGATGAGAATGCTACAAATGCAGCCAAAAAATTAAATACTGTTCATAATCAAACTGTAATAGTGTAAGGACTGCGCAGAAGTGGTTTGAAAGATTTAGAAATAATGATTTTAGTGTGGAGGATAAGGCTCGTACTGGAAGACCTGTTGACTTTGATGATGATGCTCTCTCTGCACTAGTTGAAGCAGAACCATCTTTAACAGTTGATGAAATTGCGGAACGTTTAAATTCATCCCATGGAACTGTTCATAGACATCTACAACAAATCGGAAAAGTTTCAAAGCTAGGAAAATGGATACCACATGAACTGTCAATAGCTAACTGACAACAACGTCAACTGCTCAACTCAAAAGCTTCAACTGGGAAATTTTACCTCATCCACCATATTTGCCAGATATTGCTCCCAGTGATTATCATCTTTTTCGGAGTTTGCAGAATTTTTTAAAAGGAAAAACTTTTGAGGATGAGAACAATGTAAAAAAGGCTATTTCTGAATATTTTGATTCAAAACCGAAATCATTTTACACAGACGGGATTAAAAAGCTACCATCAAGATGGCAAGAAATTGTATAAAATAATGGTGAATACATTATAGATTGAAATAAGATTTAATTAAAATTTTTTGTTGCTTTTTTTGTAGATAAAACTGCTCACAAACTTATGGACTGACCTGATACATACTTGTCATGTGGGCACAGTCATCTTTGATGAGTTATAACACTGAAGGTAATATGAAGTCTGCTACTAAATGTCAACACACTCCATGTTCCAAAGTAGCATTTCTGTAGAGCGCTCAGCAGAAAATACTTAATTTCTCCAAAACAGATGTTTGCTGAATGCAGCCATTAACTCTAAGCATGAAATCAGCTGAAGGGAAAGTATTTTAACTAGTTTTAATATACAAATTCTCCTTGTACACTGAGGAAGAAAAACAATTTCAGGTACAAAAAAGAAATTTTCAGAGCTTAGAATTAATAGATGGTAAAACATCTATAAAATATCAATTGATTAACTGAAGGAAATTTTATAAATTTAATTGTTGTAATAAGCACCTAGTAGTGATAACAAATTATTCAAATGAAGGAAATTTTATTAAAATCACATTTTTAAATATTGAAGTACAGTATTGCTAAATCATATGTTTCTATTCAAATAAATTTTAAATGGCAGCTATTGTAAGATATATTGAAGCCAGTAGAATTTTTTTGGGAATTTTCATTGAATATATTTTATACACACACTTATATATATATATATACACACACAATATTTTAATAAATAATTATCTATTCAAATAAAATATTTATGTGCACATTAAACAAAGATTCAAATTGAATCAGTCTTAAAAAAAGTTTTGTATCATAATAGTAAATTCAAAAATTTATTTCAATTGTAGAAAATTATTAAGAAGTTAATTTTGTTAAAACTTGCTTATTTATTTAAAACCAGCAGACTTATAAAATCTGTAAATGTTTACTTTATTATAAATTGCTGTATTTTTGAATGCCAAAATAATTTCTANCCAAAAAAAAAAAAAAAAAAGATTGTGGGTCTGTATATTGGCATCTATTTTGCTTGATATCTCAGGATGGCATGAAAATAAAATGAAATTTTGCATGATAGCTTGTATATAAGGGATATTGATGCTATTAATTAATTAAATTTTGGTTGTGAAAGGTTAAGGGGATGGAGAGATAGATGGTGGTCACATGGCACATCTTGTGAGGAAGTCTTAATGAAGATTTTACTTGTTAGTGTTTAATAAAACTCATCTCTACCCTCAAAATCAAATCTTTTGTGATTTTATAATAATTAAAAATATATAAAGCTTTTATAACAAAGTCTCATAACAGATGCTGCCATATATATTAACCAAAATAACTAAAAGTAAATGTTATTTTTAAAATAAAATCTCATATAATGTCCAGAAAGATAAATAACATTTATATTTATTGTAATTTGTATTAAATATGAAATTCTTCCATTTAAAAAGTAACTTTTTAAAAACTTAATTTTTAATGTATCAACTACAGGACTTCAAAATCAAGGTTTAAACACTAAATCTTTTTTAATACTTGATAAGTAAAATAATTTACAAGGAGTTTTATCACAACAATATAATAAAAATCATAATAAATTATTGGTTATTTCTTGCAAATTGATTCAATCCTTCCTTCAACATATGATGGCTAATTCCATTTGGTACCAATATACTTGTGACTCCTGTGAGGAAGAAATAATGAAAGAAACTTTTCAATAAATTTTGAATGGTTAAATATAGAAAATTTTCAAAGTCTTACAAGGAGACCTTATGAGGTATCTGTTATGGATCTCTAAATAATAATGTGTGTTGGATAAGTCTCAATGTTTATTAAGCAAAGGGAGAAAGTGTACTTATCAGCATTTGAGAAAATCAATGCTGAGGATTTCTTAATGACATAAGCAAGTTTTACGAGCTTTGTTTATTGCATGCTTTGTAGTTTGCTGCTATCATTTCATTTTTGTGTTCGCAAAGTTTTGAGATCAAATCTTGGTGACAAAATATATATATATATATATGTACACTGTATTTATTTGCATATAAGATGAGGTTTTTATTCATTTTTTCACTTCAAAAACTGCTTCAAAAACCTAGGTTGTCTTATACATGCAAGCGAAGGATTCTTTGCATTTTTTGCAATAATTTCTGTGAGCCATGTATACTTCATGCTGTCATTATAGATCTCCAGTCTATCATAAGTTGGCATCTACTGTAAACAAATTAAGACACACTTTTCTTTGTTTATTGGTTTAATCCTATGTCCATTAATTAAAAACTGCATTGCATCTCATTCGTTTGCAGAAAATAGTTTCTAGTTACTTATAAAAACATTAATGAAATACAGGTCACTTAGCAATGATTATAAATGTAGTTATTTTATATTAGTTAAATTGTTATTTTTAATGAATATTAGCACATTCTGGATCATTAAAAATAGATTTTTTCTGGTCACACACATTATAATGTTTTGGTTTTGTTTTCCATTCATCATATATTAAGGTAAAGATGGTTGTTTGCCTTAATATGTGCATTTGATAATATTTTATTNTGATTCATTGTTGAGAAAAGAAAAAAATATGATGAACAGTACAGATAAAAAAAAGAATAACAGTTCCAATACTTTCTCTTGTTATGCATACATAATAGCTAGAAAAGTAAAATACATATTTTTACTTTCTTGAAACAGTGTTGGTGATTATTTTTGTCATTTTTGAACACCATATAATTCAGACACACAACACAAGGCAATCTTAATTTTAAATTTATTCAATTTTAGTTGAAAACTAAAAATTCAGTTGAATTCAATAAATTTAAAATGAAGATTGCCTTGTGTTGTGTGTCTGAACTATATGGTGTTCAAAAATGACAAAAATAATCACCAACACTGTTTCAAGAAAGTAAAAATATGTATTTTACTTTTCTAGCTATTATGTATGCATAACAAGAGAAAGTATTGGAACTGTTATTCTTTTTTTTATCTGTACTGTTCATCATATTTTTTTCTTTTCTCAACAATGAATCATTTATAATCTTTCATTTGTGACATATTACTGTTCAAACTGCTTGACCAATGAAATGTTAGTTTTAAAAACGCTATAATTTTGTAAATACCCAATATTTTTACATAAAACTTTCAGAAGGACCACAAAAAATGGTGGGTCAAGCTACTGTATTATTCATATGTAGACTAATTCTAGATTTTCCAGTAACTTGGTGTTGCTATAATCTCTCTCATTGTAAATTTAGTGGAAAAAATGCAGAATTTGGGATTGAGTACGTCCAGAAAGATCCAGTGAATTCAAATTCATATTGTGTCAAATTTGACTCTGAATTTTTCACAAATCTCCATGTTTTGAGATGACCTGAATCCAAAAAAAAAAAAAAAAAAGATTGTGGGTCTGTATATTGGCATCTATTTTGCTTGATATCTCAGGATGGCATGAAAATAAAATGAAATTTTGCATGATAGCTTGTATATAAGGGATATTGATGCTATTAATTAATTAAATTTTGGTTGTGAAAGGTTAAGGGGATGGAGAGATAGATGGTGGTCACATGGCACATCTTGTGAGGAAGTCTTAATGAAGATTTTACTTGTTAGTGTTTAATAAAACTCATCTCTACCCTCAAAATCAAATCTTTTGTGATTTTATAATAATTAAAAATATATAAAGCTTTTATAACAAAGTCTCATAACAGATGCTGCCATATATATTAACCAAAATAACTAAAAGTAAATGTTATTTTTAAAATAAAATCTCATATAATGTCCAGAAAGTTACACAACTTGTTGCTGGATTTTTTTTTTACTTGTCTATAAAAATAACCTCCAGAATTTTTAAAATACAATTAATTCATTTACAAGATAAGAAGTTTAAAAAAGAAAAATTACACATTTTTTCTAGTAGATAGACAAAATGTATAAGCCTGTGTGATTTTTAATATGTATTAATTTTTAATTTATGTAAAAATTTCACACTTTTTTGGAAAATATATATATTCTGTCACCAAGATTCAATCTCAAAACCTTGCATACATAAAAAAAAAAAAAACAACAGCAGCAATCCACAAAGCATTCAATAAACAAAGCTCGTAAAACTTGCTTATAAGTCATTAAGGATTTCTTAATGTCGATTTTCTCAAAAACACTTTAGAAGTGCATTTTCTCCTTTTGCTTTATAAATATTTATATTGAGACTTATCAACACACACATTATTATTCAGATCCACAACAGACATCTTGTAAGGTCTTGTTAATACAACACACAGTATGATCTTGTTTTACATGAGTTGCATATCATTAGCTATCATGTAAATTTGTGTTCACATCAAATGGTCAAACAACTGCCTAGACTCTTACGCAACCTTTTACAATTAACAGAAAAATGTTAACTAAAACATTTTAAATCAATTTTACATTTTTGGATTAAGTTTTGAATATACATTATAATAAAATTTTGCTTTTTATCAAATGTGTTACATGCATACAAGGGTATTCAGCACAGGCAAATGGTTAAAGTGATTCATCTAACCATTTGCCATACAATCCCACATAAAACAAGACTCTACTACATGGGATATTACAGACACGATATTCGTTACAAATTATTTTATTTAATATTTAGAATTAGTAATATAAAAGCCATTGCCACTTTGTGAATTTCCCAAAACTCCTGCCATTTTGTCCACTCCAGGTGAAACTTTCATTATATTTTTATGTTCTGACAAATATAAGTTTTTTTTATGGCTAATATTTCCATAAAGTAAGTTTTTAGCTCAGTAATGTCCTCTAAAGTTGCATTTTTAAATATTTTGGCAAATGGCATAATTTTAAATTTAAAATATAATAATAAACACAATTTGGCTTTTTTTTTTTTTTCTTCTACAACAAATTTATTTAATACCATAGTGACCATGTGACATTCTGTTATCCAATTGGAAGTAACAATCTAACAAGCCTGTTAACTGATGCATGATAATACATTTTAAATATGTTCCAATGGAAAGTACAGGATACTTAATTTGTTATTAGTTACTCTTCTTGAATTTCTTAAAATATCTACTTATAGAAAGACTGTCATGTTTTGATGGAAATTTCTAGTGATTTCATAAAATTCACCCAAATAAAAATTTACTTCAAAATTAATATTTTAATGATGGTAATATTTCATTTATGCTTCTAACACAATAAAGTGCTATAAATTAAGACACTTGGCGGGTTGTCTCATCTTTATTTAGTTGATACGTGTGAAAAAATTTACACGTTTCGGGCTTTTAAGCCCCTCTTCAGCCAACTAAAACATTAAAAGAGGATATAACATACATATAAAAAAATACACAAGTTTTGTAAAATTCATAAAAATATAAACATACCTATGCATACAAGTTTTTTTAAAAATTGAAGTAACAGCTACTCCCGATATTTTCCAGTAACATCAGCTTGTTCACAATATTTTTTCCTTTTAGCCAACTATAATATTAGGGGAGTATACGACATATATACAAACTATACATCAGTTTTACAGAATCTATAAAACTATCTTCTATTAAGGCATACCTTGAGTACGGCTGTTATTAAANAAAAGGAAAAAATATTGTGAACAAGCTGATGTTACTGGAAAATATCGGGAGTAGCTGTTACTTCAATTTTTAAAAAAACCTGTATGCATAGGTATGTTTATATTTTTATGAATTTTACAAAACTTGTGTATTTTTTTATATGTATGTTATATCCTCTTTTAATGTTTTAGTTGGCTGAAGAGGGGCTTAAAAGCCCGAAACGTGTAAATTTTTTCACACGTATCAACTAAATAAAGATGAGACAACCCGCCAAGTGTCTTAATTTATAGCACTTTATTGTGTTAGAAGCATAAACGAATTGCAAAGCATGGTTTCATATCATCAAAAAGGTAATATTTCAGTAACTGAGTTTAAAAATCAATTTCAATGTTCTAAGAAAGTTGTCTTTCATTGTCTATGTATTAGTTCTAAAACTGTTAATACAAAACTCTTTTAGTTACAGTTTATATTCAAACATATAACAGTTCAAATGAAAAAAATGCAATCCATTATCATTATCATAGTTTTATTTGCATTATGAAAAGAAACTTCAAAATAACTGTTTAATATTTGAGGATTAAACTAGCTTCTGATCATGTTTAATCATTTTTGAAATGAGGAAAAATAACTTATTTTTTCCCAATTATAAATTAGAAGTTCAGACTATTTACAAAAAATATTTAATTTTTGAGTCTATCAATTAATCCTTTTCACGCACCGTAGAAGTACACCTTTTACATTGGTTTGAAGAAATCACTTCATAAAAATAAATAACAATAGATATTTGGAAGAAAAATATCCTGAGTTCATCATGAAAATTGTAACTACATGCAAATTAAAGATAACTCGTATCCACCACTAGAGGGCTTGAACCTGATACAAATTGTATAAAATTTTTTAGTTTTAAAATTTTTTCGCTGGATGATAATATTGTTAATATAAAAAAGACAGTCATTTTCCAAAAATATTTTGGAGCGATCACCATTTATTTCTTTAAAATGTTCTATAACAAACTTGAGGCGGCCAGACCTTTCCTTTTAGGCTA